GACTGGCACAGATAACGTGCTGACCAGACTAAAAGCCAGAGTGATGGAGATTTCCCTTAGCGCAATTTGGTCGTGGAGGTTGGGTACTGTGAAAATAAACGGGGGTGGAGGTTGGCTAGGATCCGGAAATGCGACGGATGAGGGCGTTCGGATGATGTCTGTAAACTTTGTGGCTGGCAGGATTCGGATGGGACTGACTTTGTGAGAAGCATTGAATGGGACTTTTGATTACCATGGGAAGAGGAACCACAGCTTAGTAGTGCGCCGTTCACCATTCCTGTAGCAAACAATGAGAAACCTCTGTGTTCCTGACAGATTCGAGATTCGGTGTTTTAAGCGGATGTCCACCTGGTCGTGGGATGCCAGCAGTTCCCGAGTTGGGTGCCCTTGGCTGTATTCTGGCTTCTCTCAGTGGCTGCCTTTTGGCTGCATTCTGCTTCCAAGGTACTTCTCGAAGCCAGCGAGCTGCAGCCGGAAAAGGGGTACCGCATGGAAGGCTCGGAAAGGCCGCATGCAGAAAAAGCTTGAAGGAACCACGGCAGCGCGGGCATCCACTCGAAGGGACGCGAGCTGCGTTGCTCGGAACATGACTGGTGCATATCGTCGCATGGGGTCATGCATAGAGCATGCACACAAGAAGGTAAGTTATGGAGTCAACCGGAAATAATTCAATGCAACACATGTATGATATGGCTCCCAGAGTAACCACTGAACAACCACTGGTGGCTTTCAGTTGTCAGACTATTCATAATCGTCACCGCTCGCGGGCACTCTCCGTCGTGGACTCGGGAAGATAAGCACAAATTTCGGAGGGCGAGCTTTGAGTGAGCACAGGCTCCCTAGTCTTTAGTCAGGCATCTTCGGTATCTGGCGGATCAAGTTTCTTGTTGTTCCAGTCCAGGTCGAACCCTCGACAACCTTTTTCCAGTGGGTTTTTCTGACGTCTCTGCGCGGTTCCTGACCCCATCCTGGCCTGGCTCATCCAAGACGAATAAACGTGGACTCCAAAGCGGAATGTCAACGGCGGATTGAGAAGACACCAACGACTTTGTAGGGCTGTGAACAGCTACTGGGAACTGTTTTGATGCCCATGAGAACGCATGAAAGAAACCAACGTAATGAGAGGAATGAAAGCCGTCCTTGGTGTTTGCGGCAGTGGCATGGTCTCGGTGGTCTGGCCCGGGTGACCCGGCTGCAGTCTGGTGTACAGTGTACACGGTACATCTCTGTATGGATGTAATCTGTTAGCGTGGCTTTCTGAGGATGGCAAAGAACCTCAGTTTTCATACAAGAAATGTATGGCTTAACACTCATCTGGCCCCTGTTTCTTGGATGACCAGCGTACCGAACTAGCAAGTTATATCCACGCAAAGGTGTATGTACATAGTACGTCAATTTGTCTTAGACGAGCCTGGTGCGAAATGGTGCCGAACGTCGCGCGCGTATGGTAGAGACGAGAAACCGCAACAGAGCATCATCAAAAGCACTGTCGAGAGAGCCCGCAAAGTGGGGGCCATCGAGGGAGCGCGTGGAAACGGCAAAGCTCGGTATATGCAGAAGACAGAAACTCATGTAACTATCTCCACCATATCTGCGCCAGCTGTCTCTCTTGGCGCCAAGTCCAGTCACTAGTCTTTGATGCTTTTATCACGACTTCGCGAAGAACTGGTATATCGTGAAACTGATTGCATCAGTCAGCTCAGCGCGCCCAAAAGGAGGCTATTTACCCGGATGAGGCTTATATCCGGTTCCGGTAGAGTTGATGCAATAGCTGGAAGAAAAGCCGGGGAAAGTATCTTGTACTTGGGTTTTTGCGTGGGCGTGGGAAGGTACATGAGCTTTTGTCATCTGCATAAGCATTTTTGCGTGTGTACTGCGTACATACATAGAGCGTCTGCTCTTCACCGACCAACTGACCATCGCGACACTGCAACCAATGAACAGTTTACTTTCGTTGGAATGGAGCTAAGACGGTCCCCAAGATGGAGTTGCGACTGGCCGACTGGAGCCCAGGTAAAATGACTTGTTCCACTCTTCACCCAGCTGGTCCGAGCTTATGGCTAGGGTGCTTCGCGATCCCCACTACGATGTGCTGGTGCTGTCACCACAAAACAGCTCATCAGTCAAATCGTGACGCCAGGACGACTACACTACCATCCATTCCCCATGCTCTCTGTATCGAACTCAGCTGCCTCGCTAGTTACGACCTCGGTGGTGATCTCTTCCAACTATTCCCCAGCCGGGGTAAAATGAAGCGAAGGTGATGAAGGAACGATCTCCATCCAAGACCTGATTGCCGAGGCGGTTAAACTTGGCGTATCACTAAGATTGAAGTGGTGAAGTGCTTTTCCCCATTCTTTATTCACCCTCCGCGGGATTGCGAAGACGTTGATAATGTCTGGTTAACAATTCCCGCACACAAAATATTTGCACAACCTTAAGCTCTCTCAGGGTCTCCAGACATGCGGTCTGCGTCCGATCATTTAGGTTTCCTCTAGCTATGCACAACTAAGCAGCGCCAAAGCCGAAAATGGCTTTTTGTTCCATCATTGCGCCGCTCCGATGTTCCCGTTTCCGCCCATGTGCAGCAGAAAGAACGGTACCTGACGAACTGTGGGTTCTTCTCGACCGCCTTGCCTATGTGGAGGGTCTGCTGGCTGAATGGATGGGAGGATGTGGTTGGCGGCGCGAGTCGTGCTTCCTTCGTGCTTTTGTTTCTACACTAGGCTTCTTTTTTTTTTCCCTCCGTCGCAAATCGCCATGACCACGGTGATTCTCGGTCCACAATCTCCACCGGATGATCCTTGCCTTATCCTTTGTACACAGTACCTTGCAAGCCTTGGTTCGGTGAGAGGTCGGTGGACAACAGGGCCGTTGGTGCCTCTCGTCGTTGGCTCGCTGCTACGTACAATCCGCACCAACACCTACCAAGGTGAGCTAGGGTAGCGGCTAAGAAGCAGGTACCACCGGAGAGTAATCCACAAGCGACCGGCATTGTGCGGTGTCCGCTTGTGTCGGCAGCGAACGCCGTAATGGCACCGCTAGGTCGTGCTCTTTTGGCCGAAAACGCTCCTCGACAGGCGCTGTTGTTGTTGTGTGCCTGATGTCAAAGTTGCTGTTAGTAAGGCGATTCGCAGGGGAGTTACCATCAGAAGGGACGGGACGAAGAGAACCAAGCTGTCAGCAAGGCAGAGCTTTTGCAGGGAATAGCCAGGGCTGGGAGAAAGAGGTCACGGCACTACTCCATCGGCCATCGGATCCGACTGATGTGGTGGTGGTGGTTGGAGTGGTCGATTGACTGGTTGGGGTCCTTGTCGTGTCGTTCTGACGGTCAGGCCCGCATCGAGAGAGCATGGGGTAAATTCGCGCAATGGAGTGAGGGATGCCCTGCTCCTCCCGCCCTGCAAGCCAAACCGTGACAAGCTGTCCGTCCACTGCCCGTCTTCCGGGTGGCCAAGCTTTGGGTCAAGTGGAACCTCCCGCGCCCAGAGCTCTACTGGTCAGCGTGCCGTGCACAGTTCCTCGACGCCCTCGCACTAACGGTTTTTTTTTTTTTTTTTTTTTTTTTTTTCTTTGGCTGGGGCGTGGTTGGGTGGTGATGTGTAAGTAGTAGTGCCCATAAGGAAGTATCGTGGGCCGTGGGATGGACTTCGGCACGGTAACCTGGCAGCCAGTCTCGCCTGCAGTCTGGCTGCAGTTCGACGGGAGCGAGTTCTTCCACTCCCTCCTGCCGGATTCACACCCCATCTCAATCGGTTGCCCCGGCGGCATCAATCGCGGACAACACGCACCCCCCCCTCCCGTCAAGAGAAACAGACGACAGTAAAAAGCTCCACTGGAGGTATTTTGTTTCTCTCTTTTCTTCCCCGTCTGCCCCTTCGATTCACGCGCCCATTCCTCTCTTCTCTTCCCTTCCCCTCAACCTCACTCGACAGCAATCATCCAGACAGGAGACTTTCCGCCCTAGCCCGCTATTCCAAGTCGGTTCTGCATATCCTCACAAAATCTCCCTGCCCTCGTCCTGTGTTGTTCGCCAATTCTCCTCCTCTTATCCACCTCCATAATCGAATATATTTCGACCCTACGGCCTTCATCCAACCCGTCTGGTTCTCATCAAGCTTGAAGCTT